GTTGACTGCTGATGAAGTTGCAATGAGTGGAGGTGAAGTTGCATTGAATGCAGGTGAGGTCATGTTGACTGCTGATGAAGTTGCAATGAGTGGAGCTGAAGTTGCATTGAGTGGAGCTGAAGTTGCATTGAGTGGAGGTGAGGTCATGTTGACTGCTGGTGAAGTTGCATTGAGTGGAGGTGAGGTCATGTTGACTGCTGGTGAAGTTGCAGTGAGTGGAGGTGAAGTTGCATTGATTGCTGGTGAAGTTGCACTGACTGGTGAAGAATTTGCAGTGAGTGGAGGTGAGGTCATGTTGACTGTTACTGAATTTGCTTTGATTTAGTTAGCGTAAAGTAGTGGTTGTTTTGCTTTTGATTTTATAATATCTTATTTCAAATAAGTTGAAAGGTTTTTATCATTTTAAACAAATAATGCTAGAACCATTGCTTCTTAAATGGATAATACAATATACTAAAAGTTAAATAAATATCAATTCAATATGTTGCGTCATAAAATTACCTGTTAATGATGTTGAATTCACTGGTGTTGCAGCTGTAGTTGTAGCTGGTACTGGAGTTGTAGCTGAAACAGCTATAAAAATACGGAATATGTGATTATGCTTTAGAAATTGCAAATTGTTGACATTTTGTAATTGCATGAGTCCTTACTTGTTGCTAAAACACTAGATGTGTTGAGAGGAAGGGTGAAATTTCCACCAGAGGAAGCATTCACCAACGTTTGAGCCACATCATTGGTATTTGGTAGAACTGTCACATTATTGAATATCAGATCAGCATCTACTACGATGGATCCTTGTCTGCAACAAAAAAATCAATTTCTTTTTTCAGTTGCAATTGCAATTACAGTCATAGTTCAGTTCTTTAAATCAAAATATTGTGCAAGTATAAAGTTCAGAGTATAAAAAATAAACAATTTAACTAATTTCTATTAACATTCATGCATTATTATCTAAATAATATTAGACAAAAAGTCACAATCTTTGGACCTTTGTAAAGCTGTAGAAACTTATTATGTCATCAAACATTATAACTTATAAAAATGGAACTTGTAGAAATTTATGTTTGTACCTGAACTCCTTGACAACACTTCGTTTGTAACGTTCCCCATATTTGATTCCATAAACAGTGTCAAGCTAGTTTTTCAAAGAAAAAAAAAACATATTAATACATTTTACAAAGGTATTTGTTTTATTGCAGCACTGTAATTCTTTTAATAATACTAATGAAAGCTTTTGTTAAATCATGACAGTACTTTAAATCTTAAAACGAGTCATACTTATTTATATGGCTCATGTATAGAATCACATGATTAAAAAACTGAAATATTTTTGTCTGTCTGTCTAAACACACAAATACGCACACACACACACACACACACACACACACACACACACACACACA